TGGCCAGCAGCAAAATACATTCACAATGCTGAATATATTTAGAAGCAGATAATGACATCAGATTCATTTGATAATCAGTATAGCAAAGAAAACACAAAAGGTATAGGGAGGTATCTTTTACCTTTTACTTTGTGAAAGAACTTGTTAATTATTCCTTTATTGATTTAAGTTTTTTTGTTTATTATATTTTAAAGGCATTTGTACTTCAGTATAATAAAGTATTAGTATTATATTTTTGCCTTGTTATTCCAGTTAGTCAGAGTGGGATTAAGTTTAATTATGTTCATCGGTAAGACTGCATTTGCACAGTTTATAGTATGTTTCTGCAACCTCCTGCTTATTTCTTCCAAAACATTCTCTAGTTGTAAACAATGTTGACACTACTGACAATGGTCCTTATTTACCATAATAATAATAATAATATGAAATTAACTGTAGTAGCAACTCAGACAGCAAGAAAAACAAAAAACCTCTTTTCTTTTAGTTTAATCACAACGCAACTTAGAGTCACAAAATAAACAAAGCATTGTTGCATATGAACTGATACAGAACACATACATTAGACAGCAATCAGGACAGGTAGGGATATCTGTTTTCATTTCAATGAGGAGTTACATAAGCCTTTTGGAGATGATGAACAAGTTTACAGCATTGTTCAGCTCAGAGCTTAAGAAACAAAAAAAGAAACAACAGTACTCTGAGCAGGCAGCCCTTATCTAAAAAAACTGATTCTTGGGAATTTATAGACCTTTGTTCAGCGAGATTCATAGGCAAAGGCATCATGCGAACAAAAAGATAAGATGTACATCTCAGGCATTTAGTTTAAGGTGAACAAACTTGTTTCTCTGAGCAAGTAAAATCCAGATTTGCTCTTTAAAATAAAACTAAAGAACACTTTCTTGTCGGTTCAAGCTAACAGTCGTCTTACATGTCTATGTATTATGGTTGCTTATTTATCCACGTTTTAAAATCCATTTCATAAATAACATTACCATAGTAAGTTCAAACACGTATGATACAAGAAAAGTAAAGCAAACCCTGAACATTTCTTCACTGGTTCAGTTCAAAAGTAAAAGCTGTCATTAGAGGTATAATGGAGGATTTTCGAGAATTATTGAAAACCCTGTACCCGCACCCAAGAGGGAACGTCTATTAAACATGTGCGAGAGCATGCACAAGGCCATTTCTCACGCTCTGTTTAAAAGTTGCTGTTTGCGTCGCTCATACAAGCTTACTTTCCAAAAGAAGATTTGCAGTTTTTCCACTTTCTCAGACTCGAGCACGTAGGACGGCCTTACTTAAACATATCACCAGAAAGATTGACAATTAGGAAGACAACTTATATTGATGATCCACCTGGATAAAGATTATCCTCCAGTATAACTACAGGATCTTTAGACATAAAACTAATTCACAGATGGGGAATTTATCTCTATAGCACTGATCCAGCTGGTATTCTGTGTGTTAATGTTTTTAAACAACAGCAACAGAGTCTTTAAGCTGTACTTCCTTAAAGAACAGACATTCTCTCCTAATCTAAAAAAAAATCTCAAGACACCAAGATGCATTTGTGCCTCAGACAAGCTAACCAGCATTTCTGGTTTTGGTGTGCCACATAAAGTAATTATGTAACTGCACTCTGCCAGCTGAATATGGTGCAAAATGGATGTGTTTGAATCCCCTAAGGAAGTGAAGCACTCAACAAAAGTCAACATTGTTTCATCAAGCATCCACTCAAACATGTTTACTCTTTATGATTATTACTATTCTCTTAATGCCCCTATTCCCGTTTCCTGTTTATTTTCTCTTTTTTTGATGTATGCTGGATGCATAAATCAAACAGTGAGAAGTTGAGGGAGAATTTTGAGAAATATCCTCTTATATGTATTGCTTTTGATGCATTTTGCTTTGTGTTTATTAGGATCAAGGTGCAGAATTCACACTTTCTTGTTGCATCAAGGATTAACTACCCTTCTGGAAGAAGATTTTAAATCTCTGTGAGTGCCTGTTAATGGTCAGGTAAGCTGGAATAATCTAACTGCAGATCGTTGCATCAGTCTTACAGACTCAAGTATCAGGTATGCTGAGGTGACTAAATCACATCAGTGCAGACAGCATGGCGGTGTGTGAGATTGAGGAACCAATTCTACGGGGTCAAAGCTGTGTCAATTCTCTACCAGTAGCGCATGTAGAGTACATATGATTTATGGAAACTGTGAAGCGCCTACAGCTGTTTTTATTTGGCTTAAATGTTTTTTGGCAACCTGCTTTGTTTCAAATCTGCTATGTTGTATGCAAAGCAGTTATTAGCATTATTTTCTTGTGTTAATGTGTCTTCTTATTTCATTGACATAATGCAGATAGGCTGCAGTGTGAGACAAAATAAATGATGAGCATAAAGTGTAATAAGTGTATTTATGGTACTAACCTAAAAAAGGATAAACATAAACATTGATCGCCATTGAGTGGAACTCTACATATTCTCATCTGATATTACCCTTGGGTGGACCTTGGATCAAATGTTCATACATAATTCATGACTATATGTGGTGCAGTACAACAGGAAATTGCCCACAGTAAATATTGAATTGTATTTAACTACATCCATCTAGTATAGGTTTTCCTTTAATTGATTCCAATCCTTACACTTTTCTTGGTTTTGATGTTTTTGTGTCAGAGCTTCCACTGTGATATGCAGGGTTAGGGTCCTTTAAGAAAATCCCTCAAACTATAAGAAACTGCAAATGACTGCAAGCATTACATTCATTAGTTTCCAGTGTGATTTGATTCAGCTGTATCCTGAAGTGAAAAACACGATTATATTCATTGTTTAAAACGTTAAAGCACAAAGATTCCAGTCGAAGCTCCAGTTAACTGCTGCAGAAGGCGGACATTTGCTAAAGATTAATGTTGCTAATGTAGAGCCACACACTCAATTAGTTTTCTGATTAATTCAGGTGGAAACTACTTACAGAAAAGTGAAAGCCACTTAGAAACAATAAAAATGAATCCGTGTTTACAAATGTTTTTTTTTTTCTGTTTTTATTAATTTAGATTTAAATTATGTAATTTAATCTAGAGTGATAATATCTATCACACTGTATTCACTGATAAAACTTTTTGATTCCTTTAACCTCTGAGTTTTTCCTCATCTAAGAGGTCTTAGACAACATAGCATTTACAACTAGCACAAGATAAATACAGATCTGCTCTGTTTTTCTCAGCAAATGAGCAGTTCCTTGGAAACAGAAAAAAAACCCTCATCTTTCACATCCCATTCAGAGATAACGATTTCCGATAGGGTCATAATCACTGAGCATGGGTGTCTTCTCACAGTTAAAAGGCAAAGCCCAAACCAGGCATGGATGATGGTGCACATTAGCCCTAATATGATTGGTCGATTGGAGACAAAGATGTGGGTAAACTGACCGACAACCCAAAGGATAATATGACAACAGGTATGTCCAAAGATGATCCTTCTTTTACCAGGCATAATGACATTATCTTCAGCTTTCCTCATGCTACCTTTACCTAAATATCATAACAAAAAAATAGGTAAAACAGGTCAATTTTCAAACATGACCATTTTTATGTTGACATTAGGGTTGTTTCCATTGATTCCTTCCGAGCCCTGTGAAAAAATGCACTTTGTGTTTCGAAGGCTGCAAATAAACAAATCTGTTTAACAGAAACATTGCGGTTTAACGAAATAAACCCTGCTGATTTTAAGAGAGAATGCAGTACACTAAAACACACTCAAAAATACAAACATCTTGTTTAACATAAACATAAAATACAATATAACGTATCACGCATATTTTCTTCTTTTTTCTCCAAACACCTTTGTCAGTTGACCTTCTACATAATAAGTTACAGGAAAAGTCTAAAAAGACTAAAAGCATTGTAATAATAAATATAGCCAAAGGTTTAAAACAGTTCCTTCATTTCAGTTAAAACTCCAAAGCTCTGTAAAGCTTAATATACTGTATAATCTGTAATCTAATGTATTTGTGAAATTCAAGTAGATCCAATTCGGGATTTTTAAGTTGGGTTCCATTCTACTAAAAAGCTGTAAATACCTTACCAGCAGTACCTATTTTGCCTATCAATTTTGTATCAATTCAGCTTTCTTAGATTTTTTAGATTTATACTGAAGTTACCAGCAAGCTAAGGGCTCTAAAACACAACAAAATGGGATTCCAACAACAACAACAGTTTTTAGTTTTGTTTCTGTAAGTCATTAGATCCCAAACTATATCTAAACATCTACATCTATATTTTGATGAGATATTAGTGAATACTGATAATTAGATAATCAAGAAATATAACATACTGTTTAAATGACAGGGGTAAAAATCATTTTTGGCTTGAATATATCTAATCTATAAGGCAGGGGCTCATAAGGGTGATCAGGTCCCTTTCTTTTAAAATTTAAAGATCATTGGGGGGCTAGATGGGCCAAGAATACAACCTCAGCAACGTTTTCAAAAGAATCATAGTTTTTTATAGAGAAGCTATTTTACTGAATGTTAAACGTGTTTCTAGTGCTTGGTTATTCATGCAGAAACTGATATCACCAAACAAACACTAACTTATTACACAAATACTTTGCTTATTCTGTTTGTTTTTCACAGAAAAAAAATACTGCAAGTGCAACTCCTCCAAGTTATTTTTTTTTATGTATTTATGGTGTAATTTTTGTGGTTTATAAATGACCATCAAATGCAAACTTGACCGTGGTTTAAAAGGTATGTAGAATAAGGTTTGCATAAACAGCTATAAATGCATTGGGACTAATGTTGCTTTAATATGTTTAGAGTTTAATTCATTTTTGGGCATTGGCCATGTCTGAGCAAGCTGTTAACTTTACTTGCAAACCCAAACAGAGTTGTACTCAACATACTACTATTAAAGCAAGAACTTAAAGGTATAGTGGAGGATTTTCCTGAATTTTTGCGAAGACCTGCCTTCTCTTAAAAAAAAATGCACATGCACAACCCTGTACTTTCTCTCGAGAGGGAACGTCTATTAAACATGTGCGAGAGCATGCATGAGCCCATTTCTTCTCATGCACGCTCTGTTTAAAGGTTGCTTTTTGCTTCACTCATACAAACTTGCTTTCCAAAATAAAATTTGCTATTTCTCCTCTAGGTTAGACTCACCACCGGTAAGTAAAAATGGGGACGAGCACATAGGACTGCCTTACGTAAAGATATCACCAGAATGATTCACAATTTAGAGTACCACTTATTTTATTGATTCCACCACTATACCTTTAATTTAAAAATCTAAACTAAAAACTGTAACTTGATGTTACAGTAACTCCTTGATTAAACTAAAGTAGAGCTAATAAGTAGATAGGAATCAGCAACAGTTCCATAAAGGTGATTTTGTGCCATGACATCATAATGCTAGTCAGCTTGCTCCTTCACAAGTCATTAATTTATGACTAATTAGTTTTGTGGTCTTTTAAATAAATACAGCAGAGAATTCATTGTATTGTCAGAAAGAAGCCTGTCAAAAACACTTCACATTTCTTAGTGCTAGCTGGTGGTCAAGAATTGTGATGTGAATGGTAAAAGTTAGTAACAAGTACAACCCAGCAGGTAGCATCATCAGCACAAAATTGTACAGACACTAATAAATACATTTATTTAATATTTCACTCTAGTTTATATCATATATGTTCTTTAAATAATCACGGTTTGTTTTTTTTTAAGCAAGATGCCTACGTCTCACAGGAGAGAAAGCAGCATATCTAAGCAATTTTCCCATATTTTTCTTCATTAAAAAAATACATTCAATAGTCTTCTTGAATCAATCCATGGCTTCACAAGATAAATGAGCTGTCAGTTAGAAGTAATCCTCGTTCAGATATTGCATCTGTCACAAGCTTATATGAACTCTGGCCAAGTAAGAGCTCTGGCCGAGTTAACGATATGGCGGTCATGCATCCACATGCTTGTTTGGTACTCTTCAACAAAATGGGTTTTAAACGAAGCAGATTCTAATACCTGTACTGGTGGCTCAGCTGTATCCCATGTCAATAAGTCCTTGTGTAAAAAAGTATCCATTCACTTGCTTTCTTTTTTACTCCCATAGTTCTGAAAGCATTTTTACCTGTAGTCCATCGGTAAGAAATTGCTGACAAATGCCGACTTAGCTGCTTGGTGATTTACAAATGCTGTTGCCATCTTGATTGTGTTTGTTTTTGTTGAGGGCATCCATTGCTGTCTGTGTTTCCTTCTGATCTTCCATGGAGCAATTGGAGACGGCATTAGCCATAATGCAGAACTTTCGCAGGAGGATCTCCCTCAGGAGCAAATAGACCCATGGGTCCAGGATTTGGTTGAGGGAGGCCAAACGTATCGCGGGTAGAAAGAAGTCACAGTCTAGATTTGTAACTTTGTTCTGGATGTTGCTTGTTTTTTTGTATGCTGAATTACATTCTTCTGAGGATACTTGGCTGTAAATCATCCTCAGCAACATTCCCTAAGAGGACATAATGACACATTTTAGTATATAAAAAGGGAACAGATGGGGGGAATTGCTGTTTGGCTAAGGGGAAACCATGTACGTAATGTATAACTTGAATCTTTTTTAACTGATACCTAAAAGTACAAAAGGTTTAAAACTTTTACAGACAGTGAACCCTTTTTTTCCTCAAAGCACAATGGCTTTTATCATTATCCTTGATATGGCTGACAATGCATGACCTTATAACAGAGCATGAAACAGGAATCCTAAGTGGATTAATATTTAATATTAAATTTAATATGAAATGTAATGACTTTATAATTAGACAAAGTAAAAAAAAAAAAAAAAAAGTAAAAAAAAAAGATGATAAAAGTACTTAAAACACAACAAACAGATATGTGGAAAAAAGTAGTGCTAAAGTAGCATTACCCTTTACATATGTTATTTTATGGCCACAAAACAGTGCAAAATTATAAAGTTGATGAAAAATTTAACACTTTCTTTCCCTGACAAATAAAAAAAAGAAGTGGGTTATGCATATTTATTCAGCCCTCCTGAGTCACCTATTAAAAACTGATTTAATAAGCAATTTTAACCCCTTGAGTTTCGTCTAGTATGTCTCTAGTGAACAGCACTCTTCAAGTTGCTTCTTTGAGTCGTTTTATTAAATTGAAATGCTTTGATCTAAACTGCTCAATTCTGGCCCCACCTTTTCGTTTAAACTCTGTTCTGCTAGAACGTGAAGCTCTATAGTATTTAGCTTTATACATCTTCAGATTTGATGTGATCTTTCACTGTTGAAGAAAGCTACCTCTACACCATGACTTTACCACCAGGATGTTTCAATTAATAAACTCAGACAATAGTAGTTTTATTAGTTGGCAACTGTGACATAGCCTTATTTATTTAGGATAACAGATTGAACTTTGCTCACTGAGATGTTCAGTGCAGTAGAATTTTTGAACTACCTGACTGATTTAAACCTCTTTGGAACGTTCTCCCCTTACCTGCCTTGTTTTTCTTTATTATTATGCAGTTTGTTATTTAATGTTCCCTTAACAAAATTGCACTAACACTTAGATTAAACTAAACTTAGGTATAGTTGTTATTCAGCCACACTTAGGTATAGTTGTTATTCAGCCACACTGGATTTTATTTAAGGGCATCAGAATAGAAGAGGCTAAATACAAACAACCAACACATTTCACATTTTTACTAGTGAACAATTTTGGGATGCTTACATTCTATGTGATTATGCTGATTATTTGCAAATCTTTAACATAAATTCCTGAAAGCTTGTACTGAAATGTCTGTTTGCACTATAAAAAAGATGTCCAAATGCCAAATATTTTGCAAATCGATGAATCTGTCGATTATTTATTTGATTAATTGATTAGCAATCGGATAGCCAAAGGTTCCTTAAAGAAGATTTTTTAGGAAATTAAAGGGGAACAAATTTTTTTTTTTTTTTACATTGGGCTGATTTAGGTTACATCCGAGTAACGTCTTCCTATGGGCAACAAGTTGAAAGAACAAACTAAACTGTTCGTAATTTATGGATTATGGTACGCCAGCATTCATAACATGTAGGTGAATCACTGTCCCCCAGACATCCACGGTTATATTTTTTATATTTCTATTTTTTAAAACAAAGCAGAGCGTGTATGACTTCATCTGAACGCGCCGGCTACCATTCATTTATCCTGTCCGCTGAACTGCTGCTAGTTTTACGCACATGCCTGGAAGATGTCTAGTGCTACTACCACAGAGGATCTCTCTCAATATGGAATTGAATGATTCAGATTAGCTAGCCGAATGAATAGAAGGGGTAGAGCGTAGCCGCCTGTGGCCCGGGCTTCCTGGCACGACTCCAGTCCGGCGCGCAGATGATCTCATACACACTCTGCTCTGTTTTAAAAATATATAAATATAAAAAGTATAACCGCGGATGTCTGGGGTCAGTGATTCACCTACATGTTATGAATGCTGGCGTACCATAAATGATAAATTATGAACAGTTAAGTTTCTGCCTTCAACTCGTTGCCCATAGGAAGACATTACTCGGATGTAACCTAACGGAATATCTTCAGAACAGCTTCAAATGACACAAAACTCATATGGGTGAGTAGAACATGATGTAATAACGTAAAATCAAGGACCCAATGTAAAAAAAATTGTGTTCCACTTTAAACCAGGTGAACCCAAAACGCTTACTTGAGGAATTCTGGGTAGAGCATATTGACAGACGAATTATTACTGTTTTTTCATGAATCTTAAATGCAAAATGTTTTATTTTTTTACAATCTTGGTATAATTGCTGCTCTAATTGAGTCGCTCTTTCAGCTAAAGGCATATTTTAGAGTCTCTATATTCCAGTAAACAATGAATCGATAACTGAATTAGTTGACAATTATTTCAATAATCGATTAATCCGATTAGTTGTCTACCAATAATCTGCTTTTTTAAACAAATAACAGTTTTTTTTTTTTTATTTAAACTGCCCTTTAATGACTGTGCTTTATAGGTCTATTGGGTAAAACAAATGAAAAACTCAAACTGTCCTACAGAATAATTGTGAAAAGTCGTGAAAAAAATAAATAATTAATTTAATAGAGAAGCATAGTCACATGAGATACATACCAATAGAGGAGACCAGCAAATAATCTGAACGCACATGATTCCTAATAGCTGGATGACTGTCTCTGTAGTAAGACGCTCCCAGTGCTTGGAAGATTGGGAAGCACCAGTCTTTGTTTTACATCGGATGATCAAGCCGCGGATAGTCATCACATTGCAGCAGAGCGTCACAAGTAGAGAGGAAACCCCAAGAAAAGCGAACGTGTAGGCAAAGAAGCCATTGCCAGGAGCCTCACTCTTGCCTGTCCTGATGAAGCACCAGGTGCCCGGCCACTGCTCCGTGTATTCTCCGATCCCCGCGACGGGCAACAAAGCAAAGAGGAACCCAGCACACCATATGGCAACCAGGGACTGCTTAGTGATACTTGTCTTCATGTGATTAGAGTACCAGTGAGGGTTTGTTATCGCCATGGCCCTTTCCGTGGCCATGGCGCTTGCCAAAAACAGAGCGCAGAGCCCGAAAGTTGTCATGCAGACGCCGAAGTATGCGCACAGGTTCCCGGAGGTGTCGATCATAGACAGCCTCTGATCAGCCAGGTAGACTGAGATCACTACCGGACTGGTCAAAAGCTGCCCGAACAGATCCGTCAAAGCCAGAGATCCGATAAAAAGTAAGAAAGATTTTTTCCTTCGGTTTTCCTTTTTCCCGTAAGATGTGTAGACCAGGATAAGAGCTAAAGAGTTGCCAACGACGCCAGTGACCATCATTGTTATTGGAAATCCTACAGAAACTACATTCCCACAGTTCGGGATGGAAAGGTTGCTGCACCCAGTATCTCTGGCGGTCATTTTCGTGGCTTCCGGAATGTCCATGGTAATTATTTAGGGATGAATAATCTTAAATTGTGCGGATATCCAGTCTGAATCCTCGCAGCATCTTCCTGCGCTCCCAGCTCCTCTCTGAGCGCGGTGCGTAAAGGCGCATGGAGGCTGCGAGCTGGAGGCGGGACTACTTTCCATCAAGGACAAGCAGGGAGCTGACACTATCAACAAATAGAAATTAATAACTCAAGTCCTCATTTTGGCTTTCTGGTGAAGCTGGGCTCTCAAGAAACATGATTACAGAGAAATTAAAAACAGTTGGAAAATTTGGGATTAATATGCCTACCTGCTATTTAACCATTTCTCGGGAACTCGGTGAAATACTTTGGAAATGCAAATTTCAAGCCAAAAGTGTTATTGCAATCCAGGACAAGACCTTATTGCCTTTATAATACTAAAAATATATGGATATTTTGATGGCAAAGAATAATGTCAACTTGCCCCAATATTTTACTAACAAAAAAAAAACCAAAACACTCAGAGTGAAAGAAACACAATTTTTTTGGGTACAACATAACCTTAGAGGCATCAATGCTGATACTGACACATCTTTTAGTTTATAAACCTGAATATAATCGTTTACTAGGCTTATTAATTTTTTTACTTTACTTTTCAACTTTTCAATTAGCTTTTTACCTTTTCTTTTCTTGACGGAACTTTTTTCCCCCCAACTTAATTTACAGTAGACAATATATAATTCAAGGGCTCATCTAATTGGTCAAATGCCATAATAAGATGTAAAGCCATATTTGCTGAATATAGATTTTGTGCTTCTAGACCTCACTAAGGGATGGGGGGACTACATTTCTAATGGGGTATGCAAGGGATCAAAACCAGTAACTTGCCCTTTAAAGGGTTAAATGAAATATAAATTTAAAAAAAATACACCCCCCCATAGCTTTAATGCAAAAATAGGATAGATTTCAAATTGCTATTGTTTTATGTTAGTTTCATAATTATTTCTCCCATGGCGATGAAAATAAAAAAAAAACGTTTTTTTTTTTTTAGAATTCAATAGCAAAAAGTTTATGAAACGTAGGCTACATGCGTTTTTTTTTCCATCAATGCATGTTTTCAGCATGGCTTGGAGGTGATCAGCATGTGATCTTTTTAAAGCAAGCTCTTTAAGTGCTTTATTTTGTTTTTCTACTAGATGGCTGCACTGCCCTTGAAGAAATGGGAAAAAAAACAAACCTCAGCAGATAACAGAGCTCTTAAAGTCATCACTGACTGGAACATTCACCTTGGAGCTCAAGCAGCTTGTTATCTACCCTTTTCCTCCAGGCCCAGGGACACAAAATCTTTCAAATGATTTGCAGAATATACTTTAATCTGAAAAGATTGGACAACAATCCAGTCATCCCTCATTTAGCCCTTTTGATAAGAGTAGCAGTTCTTAAAGGTCTAACTCCAAACTTGTGAATATCCACCAAAGTTATGACATTTGTTGAACCATCTCAATGTTGTTTTTTCTAAACTTTACATTGATGTGCTTAAATAAACTTTCTATAAACTAACTGAACAATGCTTACTTATTTAGTCGGATAATTGAGTTTTCTTAATGGTTGTGCAGACATTGTCAGCAGATGTTAATTTTTCAAGTTTGACTACTCCAATATCAAGAAACCAACATTTTGAGATTTCAAAATATTAGATGCATTCATTTCTAGTATAACATTTTCAAATATTTCCTAACTGAAAAGCAAGTATATAATTATTTTTATTGTATAATTTTTATTTTATCTAAGGGGTCATCTATCTGTAGACATTGCTTTAAAAAAAAGGAGAAACCTGCCACCTGTTGATCATAAAGGGACCTACAACCATAAACCAACAAGAGTGGTCTTTCCACTGTTGATTAACTCTGATGAATATCTTAAAAAAAGTAACATTAAAATGTAGCCAATGTTACATAAAATAGATCACTTCATAAAGATAGCTTTCCATCCCTTTGATTTCCTAAAAGGGAGAGCACACTGAAAAGTAAATTGTCTCACCAAAGACATTAAAAAGAAAGTTATCAAATGTAGTTTCTCAGGGGGTGCTTTCTAAATTATTGTCTTTGCCAAATATTTGATTTTTAATCAGAGGCTTTGGAGTTGTATTTTCAAATATGAAAATTGCTAGATTACTGTTGATATTCAGCAAAGTCTAATATATGAAAACATTTGCCCGCAAAATCTAGATGACCTGTAATCACTCCCAAAATATTTTATGCATTCAACCCAGTATATTAACAGGAATCCTTGTCATAACCACATATTAATAGATAAATGTAAAGGTATGGGTTCATAAGTCCTGACGATATTTCTCCAAAAGCACAAAATACACCAAGATGTCATCAAATAAATACTATTACCATTAAGCAAGGCTGACAAGTTTTTATTTACATTTGTACATTTTAGTCATTTTACTTCTAAAAAGACTTTGATGTCACATATTAATCACAATTTTTAGCAGTTTGTGCTATTCTGAACTGGAGCAGAAAACTTAGTTGGTTACCAGAGAGATAAAAGGAAGAAAAATCAGTGGGAATATCTTCTTTTTTTTTTTTTACAAGTCAGAATGACCCACAACTGAATGTAGGGAAAACTTACACTCAAACTAAACCCCAGAAAAGAAACTTTTTCAATTAAAACAATATCAAAAAGTATACTTACCTTCACCCCCCAAAATAAAACAAAAAAACAAATCATAGCTACATTTCAGCTACCCAAATTTGATGGTAACGTAAAACAAAAGAATGCTCCAGTTCTACAAATGACCAGGGCTAAATACTCATGGAGATCTTGGGCAAAAAATAAGGTTTAAAAGGGAAATCCATCCTTAAATGTAAATTACTTTTCCCCATTAGGACCAAACTATTTTTATTTGACATCTAAAGATACAAACACTCCATGTTTTTTTTTTTTTTTTTTCCATTTTAAAGGGAGCACATACTGTGGGGCAAAAAAGTATTTAGTCAGCCACCAATAGTGCAAGTTCTCCCACTTAAAAATATGAGAGAGGCCGGTAATTTTCATCATAGATATACCTCAACTATGAGAGACGAAATGAGAAAAAAAAATCCAGAAAATCACATTGTCTGATTTTTAAAGAATTTATTTGCAAAATATGGTGGAAAAAATAAGTATTTGGTCAGTTACAAACAAGCAAGATTCCTGGCTCTCAAAGACCTGCAACTTCTTCTGTAAGAGGCTCCTCTGTCCTCCAATCGTTACCTTCATTAATGGCACCTGTTTGAACCCGTTATCAGTATAAAAGACACCTGTCCACAACCTCAAACAGTCACACTCTAAACTCCACCATGGCCAAAACTAGAGAGCTGTCAAAGGACACCCGAAACAGAATTATAGAGTGGCCTAGCCAGTCTCCAGATCTCAAGGGAGTTGAAAGTCCGTGTTGCCCAGCGACAGCCCCAGAACATCACTGCTCTAGAGGAGATCTGCATGGAGGAATGGGCCAAAATACCAGCAACAGTGTGTGAAAACCTTGTGAAGACTTACAGAAAACATTTGATCTCTGTCATTGTCAACAAAGGGTATATAACAAAGTATTAAGATGAACTTTTGTTATTGACCAAATACTTATTTTCCACCATATTTTGCAAATAAATTCTTTAAAAATCAGACAATGTGATTTTCTGGATTTTTTTTTTCTCATTTTGTCTCTCATAGTTGAGGTTTATCTATGATGAAAATTACCGGCCTCTCTCATCTTTTTAAGTGGGAGAACTTGCACTATTGGTGGCTGACTAAATACTTTTTTGCCCCACTGTAGGTAATGACAGGATGATTTCATCTTGCCTGCTTTTCTTGATTAGAAGTAAGACTTAAGAGGTTACGACAATGAAGAGCATACTGAAGGTGTATGGTTCTGTGCTTGCAACAAGACATGCACTTCCACTAAACTTTACTGGTTTATGAAGCTGTAAGAAAGCTATTTCTTTTTAGAACTGGAGCCAGAGTGGGACGATCCAGACGAATGGCCACTGCGTCTGAAATCACACAAACATCATGGGAAGAACAACAAGGTCAGCAGAGTCAGCCTTTGGTAATTTATGTATACTTCAAACAAATAAAATTAAATAAAAATCATCACACAATGGAAAAAAATGGGCATACATTTGTAAATCTGATCTCCGATAAGCGATCCTTTAGAGGTCTAATTATAATTAGTGCCACTGTGGTATTCCACAGAAACCCAAACCTTTCGGACGAATGTGATCTAGAGCGTCTTCGTTTTCTTCCTCCAGATGAAGACCTGGAGCGACTGCGCTTCCGTGTCCTCTCGGGTGAGGAGGATGGCGTGCGGGACCTCTTGTGGGGAGAGGAGCCCTTCCCAGACCTGGAGCTCGATCTTTTGGAGGAATACACCAAGCACTATGGTCAGTACAACTGAAACAGGCTCTCACAAGTGGGACTATTTATCAGACTTCTCTGCTTCAAGAGCACATATAGTGCATTTATCCCAACTATACTCTTCATGCTTTGTTACAACCACAAACTTCCAGGTATTTTTTATTGTAATTTTAGGCAGCAGCCCGACACTAAGTCAGTCCCTTGTAAAAGGGGGAACCCTGACTTTGTAAAAAAAAAAAAAAAAAAAACAAAAAAAACAACGCAGTGGCACATGCAGTATGTTTAGGATTCCTGTTTTAATTGATGTGCCACCTTTCAATCAATCCAGGCACGTCAGTGATCCCTTTTTGTACTGAAATTAAAATTTCTTCCCCTGAAGGAGCGATCTACAACAACCGGTCAGAATTCTGCATAATAGACATGGGAATCTTGCTTATTAAAAAAAAAAACTCTTCTAAAAGGCTAACATTTGCCAACGCAGACATGTTTACCCCAGAGTATTTAGAGGGTGAAGCACACAATTCTATTTCTACAACCAAATAGCAGTAAATGATGGACAAAAAGCCTGTGGCAGACCTCATGAGGAGCCAAACAACAACAATAAAAAGGAGATAACAGTTCATCTTTTCAAAGGTCACTGACGCATCTTTTGTTTTATGTCATGATTACATTGTTTGCTAATGTTTAGCATGGAAATGGCGTGCTATTCCTAAAGTAAAAAGACAGTAACCTGTATCCAAGGTACAGCGGCATGGGCTACAGGTATTCATTTACAGTCTTAATATATTTGTGATCAGGCTCGGGCTGGGAAAGATTTTTGGCTCTGGCATTTTTCCATCTAAACCAACCCACCCCCTGAAAAAAATAAAAAAAAATAAAAGCACAGTCCAACACGTGCATCTCAAATGTGAGACACAATACGAATACACATTGTGGATTAACCGATCTATCTTCAAGCATCACACGACAACAATCACCAAGACTTCCTTCTATAATGCGGTTTTACTGGCTTTGGTTATTAACACGAACGCGACAGTGACTGGTGCTCCGTAAAGTCCACACTCACCACATCAGCAGAGTTGCCAGATGTCACCGACTCACGTTTTCCAGCCCCAAATTGTTCATAAACCGCCTGGAAATACGAAATCTCACCCAATTTGAACCAAAGTCTATTGATCTCTTAGGCCATAAATCATAAATTTAAAAGAAAATTTTTTTACCCATAGACGTCCCATCCAAAACGGCCAGACTGGGAAACATAGATGCAACACCCCATCATGCACCGCAACATATTTTTACAAAATATTCAAAAATAAATTAGCCAATTATGAAGGGAACATTGTAGTTTGGTTCAAAAGAAAGCATTTTAGCTTTAGTATAATTCAGTTTGTTGCAGGGATTTTACATTTTAAAGAAACAGTATTTTACATTTTGAAGAAATTGAAAATTACACCTTATGCCAACCGTCACAAGGGTGTGCATGACAAGGAAGGGCTATATATATATATATATATATATACACATACACTATATCTATCTATCTATATATATATAGATATATATCTATATATATAGAGAGATATCTATGTATAGATAAAGATATATATAGATATATATCTATCACAGATTACCATTCCAAGCCTGTTTGTGATAACGTTTCAGATTTTCACCCTCTCATTTATCTAGCTCAACATTCACTGATCTGCTCTTACAATTTCAGAAGACATCTGACACAACTTAACCAAGAGCCAGCCTGACCGCGTCCCCTCTTAATCTTCCTATGCCTATGGAAAGCATGGCTTCAATGTTGCTTAGTCTGATGCTGCCATGAAACTTTTTAAATATATTTCGCTTAAGGTTTAATGATCCTGCAAAAAGGCTTATTAAATGCCTTAGGTAATGTTGGGGTTCTCTACGTCTCTGCTAAAACTTTTCTACACCTTTACACTTCAGATCTTTGCTTGTGGAGTCATCTTGCAGCTGGCATTAAGACAAACATATGCCGCACTCTCAAATCTGCATGTTTTCCTACAGGATCCATCCAAAAAAAAAAAAAAAAAAACAGTAAAAGAAAAAAAATCAACTTGAAACAGACCCTTTTCCTCCACCTGATAAGAGCAACCCTACAGCATCATGCCTACATAGCTACAGTCTGTTAACGATGGAAATATTTCTGTAGTTTCCTTTAATGCATATGTTCAGCTTTTTCAAAAGAAAAAAAAAAATAAAAATAATATGCTGTAAACTATATATTGAAAGATTCAATTCCATCAGTTTGATGAACTCCATTTAATATTGAAAACATTTGGAATGGCATGAAAGTAGAAAACAAGTGCAGGCACTATTAAAAAGTTTTCTGTTTGTTGAAACATCTGAACAGCATAGATCATATTGGGTCTACCTCGCAAAGATCTATGACTTTGTGCTGGCCCATAACAAAATAATCCCAGTAAAACATTTACGTTTATGGTTGTAACATGACATGGCGAAAAGTTTAGAAGGTGTGAATATTTTGGCAATGCACTGCAACTGTAAAATAAGCAGTGCTGTTGATTACCAGATGCCTTTTTGCTCACTGACTACAAGCTAATTAGTAACTAGACATCACTCTTGAGAGGTTTGATAAACAGCCCACATGTTGATATGGACATTTGGGCCAAAGGAGACATAAATACAACAAAACTAACCAAACCAGATAACATTTCAATAAAAAGTTAATCTCTTCTCACTTTTTTCAACTTTTGATCCTTTGTCTATTTTGTATCTTGTTGACAATTTAAAATAATTTAGTAGTCCTTTAAAATGTTTATTTGTCATGTACCTGGCATTTGTGATTCTGACATATATCATACATCAGCTGAGAGAAGAAAGTGAAATCTTATAAAACTTCTCTTTGGTAGTAAGGCTGTTCTGGAATATTCTAACCACACATACGCTCTCTCTCTCTAAAGGGAGAGAGTGCATGTCACCTCATTCACCTGGAGCGAGATCTCGAACGAGATCCAAATCTGGAAGAACTTCTAGAACGGGACCTGAAAGACAGACAAAGCAAAAAAACCTTTCCAATATTTTTTAAACTTAGAAGATAATATAGGACTTTATTGATGTGACAACAGAGAAATTCAATTGTTACATCAGCTCTAGTAAAAGGTGAAAAAATACAATACTTCAATATTTAATGCAACTTAATCCTATTTAAAGTAAAGTACTATAGAGAGAAAGAAAGCTACCTCATAAATTATTAATTCAACATGAATTGTGAATATAAATCTACAGAAAGCCCTTGAACTGATAAAAAAATCATTTTTCTGAGTCACACACATTTGGAAGTGGCTACTAATAGAGAGCTGCCTACACACACTGTTTGTTGCTAATGGGAAGGGGATGAAAATAAAAAGGGAGAAACAACATATTATAATTTAAAGGACATCGTTTGATGCTGTTCATTTATTCAAATCAAAAGGTAGGTTGAGCTGATACAGACATTTTGCCTGGAGTTACCCTTGACCTGTACCCTTTTACCTGGACCTCGACCGAGAGCTGGAGCTAGAAGAGCGCGAGGAAGAGCGTGAAGAGCCAGATTGGCTGCCGCTCTTCTTGGCTGGCTTTTCGTCCTCATCACTGGCAATGAGATCATACTTTGACAGATCCCCATCTTCATCATCCTCATCGTCCTGCAAATACATGATTTTAATATCGGCCATTTCTGCCTACAAGAAGTTATTAGAACTTCTAATCAACGGGCTTACATCAAGCTTGTATTTAGACAGGTCACCATCTTCTTCATCGTCATCTTCCTCCTCTTCTTCCTCCTCCTCCGGATCATCTTTTGGTACTTCTTTCTTTTCAGGTTCTTTTGCTGAACTTGAGCTGTTGCTCTTTCCACGATATTTTTTCTTTTTTCGACCAAACTGCAGGATAAGGAAATAAAATCCTCTTAAGAAAAATCCCTCACAAAATCCAATTTATCTAATTCAAAATAGGACTAATAAGAAAAAATATATATTTAAAAAAATGACATGATAATCTCCAAGTTTAAGCTAGAACTCACCTCATCATATTCCCCATCAGATTCCTCCCGTTCTATGTATTCCACATTTTCCCTTTCATTGAAACCTCCACCATAACCTGTCAATAAATAGAGAGATTAATTAATCTTAGCCCACAATATGCAACCCTGCTAGAGTATTCTCACATTTGTCACATTACAGCAATAGTCTTTAATGCAAGTTGCAGGTTCTGTAAAACAAAATGAGCTCAAAGTAGAAGGAAACGACCAAAGATTTGATATATTTGGAACAGGACTTTAATCATACACATCATTTTGGGTAATCCTCGCCTATTTTGCATACCCAAATGGAAAAGCAAATAACTTAGGAACTGTAAGCCCAACACCCTCTGGTTTTGGTGACAGAACACAGACCAAGCTGCATCAGTTCAAACATGACTCAAAGTTGTTGTTTTTTATTCTCAGAAATGATATGTCTTTCTTGAACAGCAGTAATTTAAGACATTGTTGAGAAAAGGTAGATCTCATTGTATTAAATGTGTTCTACATCATGTCAACCACAAATGCAGAAACTTTCAGACCTCTAGCTATAACAGTTCCAGAGCTGTGGGGTTTTGAGCTTTTGGTGTCAGCTTGGAGCGGCAATGGCTCCACCCACTGGTGTCTGTGTTTCTCTCTAACATAAACCTTTAATGCGGTACCCCTTTAAATATTCTACACACATTTAGGCTTGTTCGAAAGCTTATTTCATTGGCTACAAAGCCCAAGACCCCAGATGGTCTGATCCAATAACAACAGAGATTAAAATGTCAATCATATCTTGCGTCACTGGCTGACAGGAAGTGAATCGGAGGTGAGACTTTGGAGACTATATCTCGCTCAAATCATTTTATAAAAATATGCAGACACTGGTGTGAAGAAGGCGATGTAAAGAACCATACCAAACATCGCGGGATAACAACTGAGGAAATTAGTATTAGAAGTAAATATTAGCAAGATGCTGAGAATAAGCTATGACCACCTTTCTGATGTCAACAACCGGGCGTTAGCGGCAATTTTCTCATCATGGAATATTCTTATTACTAATATGCTGGATTACTTTTTATCTATGGACCCTTATGGACGAATGGAGTATAAACAATTGAAGATTGGATTTATAAAACGGCTTCTGGATGCCTTCAAAGGTATGTAGCTGTGGCTGCTTTGTTTGTTTACATTTTGACATACTGCTATATCTGTTTTAATCGTACTTTGGTGTGTCCATAAAATGATCTTAGTGGTTGAATTGTGGAGAATCTAAGCTTTCCAATGATGTCTAACATGTCTATATAGGTAAAAATTTTACCAGTGGAATTTTATGCATTGTGAGTTATTACCCCACTTAACACCACTTAGAGATTAAAACTGACATTTCCGTAGGTTCCTCATCAATTCAGGCTGCACAAAAGGCTTCACTGCAAAGAGCTAGAATTCACTTGGATGTGCAAGTCTAACAGAAACCCTACAGTAAAGCAAAATTTTGCTCTACAAAGTGAAGTGATGGGAGATTGGGATGTGCGCCAACCATCTAATGAGAGAAAAAGCTTGAAAACCATGTATCCCTTTCCTTCCACTTCAAATCAATTAGCTTCATTGTTTTTATCCATTACGTGAAATCTCAGATTAAATAACTTATTGCTGTAATATGACAAAAAAAAAAGAGAAACTCTAGCGGGTATGAGTATATTGGTATATATAAAGCTAATCCTGAACTAAAAAATGCATCCGAACCTGTTCTTTCTTCAAGCTTGGTATACTTTGGAGTGTTGCACATGTTGCACTCTGAACGCCTTGCCCAGTTCACATTGCCACATCTTTAGTCAAAATGGGGAAAAATAAACACAAGTTAAACACAATAATATTAACATGCACTTTGAAAACAAACGGTTCAAATTACGCTCATACGTTTTGCACTGCCAATCATTTTTACTGAAGAGGCCTTTGCTCTTCTCAGCAAGAGTTTTCCCAATTTCTGTTCCTCCTGCTTTCATCATCTTGGCCTCTGTGGTTTTATCTGTTGACACAAAAACACCAACTTCATTAAATAGCAGCAACAACATCATTATTATAGCTGATCGAAGCGTTACCTCTTCCACATCTGTTGCAGCTTGTTCTTCTTGCGAAGTTTACATTACCACACCTGGAAAAAATATATTTATATAGTAAATTCGCCACTCAATGCACAGGATCGTGCAGATTAAGCTAGCAGCCTTAGTTTAGAAACACCACCAAAGGGCTTGGCTCTGACATCTGCACCCGTCGATCACATTTATACCGAGTTCGCTGGAAACATGACACTCTGAACACGCATCCAAACTATCAACAATGTGAGCAACCCCCACAACAGTGCGTGAATAAGCTTATAGCCACGCAAGCTAACAACAGCTAATATGCTAATTTGATAGCTTGAGATGGGCACTTTTATTGTAAAACAAATCTTTCCCCCTTATTCAAACGTCCAACTAATCTATAAGTCTATCATATGTCAAGTTTACATGATGATTGAATAAACAAAATAACGATTGTTTTATTTGTTAGCATAAGCTACATGCTAGTAGGCCTCAGGCTAACTCGAGTCACACTGAGACAGAAATGAACAATTCCTGGTAAATTAGAGCCTCTATGTTGTTCATTTGTAATTTTAACGCCAGGCTTACTTTTTATCGGGACAAATCCAGTCCCCGTCGCTGACTCGAAAACTCTTTCCTGACATTTTTGTGCCTTTTGACTCAATCACAGTGAACAGAATTCACGTTCACGCGGCGCAGTAAGAGCTGCACAGCGGCTAGTCGAGTCAACGCCTCCCTCCACTGCTGCCTTCACATCCTCTCCCGGAAATTGTACATCTCTACACTTTTCCTTCTTCTTCTTCTTCTTCTTAAATGCAATTAAATTGTTTGAGTTAATTGAAGATTTTCAGTTGGTAGTCCCCACTGATTAATTAATTAATTTTTATTTATTTTATTTTATTTTATAATTTGTTCCAGCCTGTGTATTTAATTGTATTTTTCAAAAGCAGGAGTTGTGATATTTCTTCTTGTATTGAAATATTTGTTATTGACTTGTTATTTGAGATTGTTATTGTTTTCTTATATATTCAATAAAAATAAAAAAAAACTTCTTCTTCTTCTATTTTTAATGGCGGTTGGCAAACAACTTATAGGTGCATTACCGCCACCTTCCAGAATGGAGTATGGATCAGACAAACTATATTCTCCCTAAAATACCCGTTCTTCTTAGAAAATTAAAAATACTCCCAAAAACTACATCCCCAGATGACCTTTGAAACAATTCCCTTATATCTAGTTTATTTTTATTCCTGCCTAACTCTCTACGCAACATCTCTCTTTCCTGAGTATATGTATTACATTCTATTTTTTTATTCTATTACATTTTCTTAATTCTCCAACCTTTTTTTGAATACTATAATAACATCTAGCATTCCCTCCTTTATCCCACTGTTCTTGCCATTTCTTCTTGAAATACATTTTTATAATATTCTGTAACTCATTTTTACTAATGTTAATGTTTAAATCAACATCCTTTTTAACAGCACTCTTAGCAAAACTGTCAGCTAACTCATTACCGATAACACCAATGTGAGCAGGAATCCAGACTAATTTAACAACAGAACCACCATTTTTAATCCTGAAAATTGAGTGAAAAATATCCAATATAATATCTTGTCTTGATTCTGAATTACTTTCTAGAATACTTATTAATGCACTACTTGAATTTGAACAAATTAAAACCTCCCTTTCTTTTGTTTCCTTAATCCATTCTAAAGCCATTAAGATAGCCAATAATTCACCTGTATACACTGCCAATTTATCTGTTATTCTTTTATTCCTCATAATATTTAAATCTGGGATTACAAAGGCTATACCTACTTTATCATTTAATGTTTAAGAAGCATCTGTATAAATTTGTATATACTCTGAATATTATTTTTTAATATAATTTTCCACCTCCTTTTTATTTAACTGTCTCCCTTTTCTCAATAAGTTTAAATCAACATCAGCCTGTCCAAAGATCCATGATGGAATAGCAGGAATAACAACCACTGGACTGATTACAAAGTTATCTATACCTACATTTTTTACTTTATTCATAATTGTCCATTCAAAACTATTATTTTTTTCTTTTCTTTTTCTTGACATGGTTGCAGTGTAACATACGGAGGATGATTTTCTTTATATCCTTTAATATTTACCCAGTAATTTATGGCTAGTTGTTCTCTCCTAAGCTCCAGTGGCATCTCACCCATCTCCACTTGTAGAGCGGAAATCGGGGTAGTTTTCATTGCTCCACAACACTCTTAATGCCTGATATTGTATTCTATCTATTTTCTTTAATAAAGTACTTGAAGCTGAATTGTATACTATACAAACATAATCAAAATTTGATCTAATTAGTCCATTATATACTGTTTTTAATGCTTTTCTATCTGCTCCCCAATCGTTTCCTCTCAAACATCTCATTATATTTAAAATTATTTTTACTTTTTTCAACTATTTTATCTATATGTATCTTCCATGTAAGTTTTTTATCAAACCAGATGCCCAAATACTTAATTTGATTTATCCTTTCTATAACATCCCCATATAATTTGAGATTTGCATTATTGTTTAATTTCCTATGTGTAAAAGCAACACATTTAGATTTAGATGTTGAGAACCTAAAACCTCAATCTACATTCTGTAATGCTTCTTGTAGTTTTCTATTTACAAACTCTATATTTTTCCCCCTCTTCCAAATAATACCATCATCTGCAAACAATGAGATACCAAAGGATTTATCTATACTACTACAAATATCATTAATCATTATACTAAATAGAATAGGACTTATTATACAACCTTGGGGAGTACCATTTTCAACCATTTTGAACTTATTACCCCACCTATTTTGACTCTACTTTTTTCAGTTAAAAAACTTTTTATCCATCTATATATTTTACCTCTTATACCTATTTGTTTTATTTTAATCAATAGCCCTTCTTTCCATAACATATCATAAGCCTTTTCCACATCCAGAAATACTGCTAACACACTCTCCTTATTTACCTGAGCCCGTCTAATTTCATGTTCCAGACATAATGCAGGATCTATGTACTTCTGCCTTTTCTAAATCCAAATTGATAAGATTTAATCTTTTCTTTAGATTCTAAAAAATAAATAAATCCAATATTTACCATTTTTTCCATGACTTTACCCATACATGATGTTAGAGCTACTGGCCTGTAACTTTCAGCTAAATTAGGATCTTTACCAGGTTTGCAAATGGGTATAATGATGGCTTCTTTCCATATATCAGGTAATATCCCTTCCTCCCACACCTTATTATATAATTCTAATATTTCTTTACTCACATCACTAAGATTTTTTTAACATACTATAACTAATTTGATCTTTCCCAGGAGTAGATTTACTAGAATTCGTCAATGCTTTATTTAATTCTAACAAGGAAAACTTCATGTTAATAGAATCCTCACAATCTTCTTCATCATTGACCAATGCAATATTTCTCTTCAATGTCATTTCACGCCCTCTTTTTTCTTTTTATTCTTTTTAGAGAAAAGAATGAATACCGAGGTTTTCAAAACTGTTTATTTAAAAAAAAGTTAAAGTGAACAAAGACTACACTCACAAGAATCCAGAATGGAATAAAGGTTCCAACCACCGGGAGCAGGAACAAATAAAATCAAATGTAATGATAGAAACCTTAGTCAGTTAAATAACCTGCTGCTGTCATTCTGCAAATCTTTAATGTTGCTCCTATTTTCAAATATCCATTCCTGTAAAAATGTCCATAGCTGCATATTGGTTATTAATTCTCCAGTTTTATATTGTTAAAGCAATTTACAGAATTGTATTTCTTATATTTTAACTCTTCCCTATTATGTTATTCTTATACATTTTTCTAAGGTCCACATTTGTGTGACCATTTTCAATAATCTTTCTGCTGCTGTAAATTTGCCCATTGTGGGACAATAAAGGGATTTTCTATTCTATTCTATAAAAGGGTTAAAAATATATCAGTAAATCTAAACAATGTATGTACAAAATATATCTGCAAAATCTCTAATATTCAACAACAAAAAACATTTAACTAAGCATATTGTGCAAAACAGCAATAACAAATTAAACTCCTATCAGATTTATAGTTCCCACTCTGCAGATATATTAGAATCTGTCCTTAAATTACAGCCAAACCCATTTACACAGTAACAGATTAAAACCTTTAGATAAACCAAACATTACCGCCACATATCTGACTCAATAACCATTAAAACAACTATTTTCATTAATCTCAGACGGAACTATTCAGACTTGTATTATTTTTATTGTATAATTTTTATTCCGTTATCTGAGGGAGCATCTATCTGTTAACCTGACAACAGCCAGATGCATGTGAGTGGAGCTAGGCGGAGCGAGACATGCATCTGGCTGTTGTCAGGTTATCTATCTGTAGGCATTGCTTTAAAAAAAAAAAGGAGAAACCTGCCACCTGTTGATCATAAAGGGACCTACAACCATAAACCAACTAGAGTGGTCTTTCCACTGGTGATTAACTCTGATGAATATCTTAAAAAAGTAACATTAAAATGTAGCCAATGTTACATAAAACAGATCACTTCATAAAGATGGCTTTCCAACCCTTTGATTTCCTAAAAGGGAGAGCACACTGAAAAGTAAATTGTCTCACCAAAGACATTAAAAAGAAAGTTATCAAATGTAGTTTCTCAGGGGGTGCTTTCTAAATTATTGTCTTTGCCAAATATTTGATTTTTAATCAGAGGCTTTGGAGTTGTATTTTCAAATATGAAAATTGCTAGATTTCTGTTGATATTCAGCAAAGTCTAATATATGAAAACATTTGCCCGCAAAATCTAGATGACCTGTAATCACTCCCAAAATATTTTATGCATTCAACCCAGTATATTAACAGGAATCCTTGTCATAACCACATATTAATAGATAAATGTAAAGGTATGGGTTCATAAGTCCTAACGATATTTCTCCAAAAGCACAAAATACACCAAGATGTCATCAAATAAATACTATTACCATTAAGCAAGGCTGACAAGTTTTTATTTACATTTGTACATTTTAGTCATTTTACTTCTAAAAAGACTTTGATGTCACATATTAATCACAATTTTTAGCAGTTTGTGCTATTCTGAACTGGAGCAGAAAACTTAGTTGGTTACCAGAGAGATAAAAGGAAGAAAAATCAGTGGGAATATCTTCTTTTTTTTTTTTTACAACTCAGAATGACCCACAACTGAATGTAGGGAAAACTTACACTCAAACTAAACACCAGAAAAGAAACTTTTTCAATTAAAACAATATCAAAAAGTATACTTACCTTCACCCCCCAAAATAAAACAAAAAAACAAATCATAGCTACATTTCAGCTACCCAAGTTTGATGGTAACGTAAAACAAAAGAATGCTCCAGTTCTACAAATGACCAGGGCTAAATACTCATGGAGATCTTGGGCAAAAAATAAGGTTTAAAAGGGAAATCCATCCTTAAATGTAAATTACTTTTCCCCATTAGGACCAAACTATTTTTATTTGACATCTAAAGATACAAACACTCCAGTTGTTGTTTTTTTCATTTTAAAGGGAGCACATAGGTAATGACAGGATGATTTCATCTTGCCTGCTTTTCTTGATTAGAAGTAAGACTTAAGAGGTTACGACAATGAAGAGCATACTGAAGGTGTATGGTTTTGTGTTTGCAACAAGACATGCACTTCCACTAAACTTTACTGGTTTATGAAGCTGTAAGAAAGCTATTTCTTTTTAGAACTGGAGCCAGAGTGGGACGATCCAGATGAATGGCCACTGCGTCTGAAATCACACAAACATCATGGGAAGAACAACAAGGTCAGCAGAGTCAGCCTTTGGTAATTTATGTATACTTAAAACAAAAAAAAAAAAAAAAATCATCACACAATGGCAAAAAATGGGCATACATTTGTAAATCTGATCTCCGATAAGCGATCCTTTAGAGGTCTAATTATAATTAGTGCCACTGTGGTATTCCACAGAAACCCAAACCTTTCGGACGAATGTGATCTAGAGCGTCTTCGTTTTCTTCCTCCAGATGAAGACCTGGAGCGACTGCGCTTCCGCGTCCTCTCGGGTGAGGAGGATGGCGTGCGGGACCTCTTGTGGGGAGAGGAGCCCTTCCCAGACCTGGAGCTCGATCTTTTGGAGGAATACACCAAGCACTATGGTCAGTACAACTGAAACAGGCTCTCACAAGTGGGACTATTTGTCAGACTTCTCTGCTTCAAGAGCACATATAGTACTTTAAAACTGCATTTATCCCAACTATACTCTTCATGCTTTGTTACAACCACAAACTTCCAGGTATTTTTCACTTTAGGCAGCAGCCCGACACAAAGTCAGTCCCTTGTAAAAGGGGAACCCTGACTTTGTAAAAAAAAAACAACGCAGTGGCACAGGCAGTATGTTTAGGATTCCTGTTTTAATTGATGTGCCACCTTTCAATCAATCCAGGCACGTTAGTGATCCTTTTTTGTACTGAAATTAAAATGTCTTCCTCTGCAGGAGCAATCTACAACAACCGGTCAGAATTCTGCATAATAGACATGGGAATCTTGCTTATAAAAAAAAAAACCTCTTATAAAACGCTAAAATTTGCCAACGCAGACATGTTTACCCCAGAGTATTTAGAGGGTGAAGCACACAATTCTATTTCTACAACCAAATAGCAGTAAATGATGGACAAAAAGCCTGCAGCAGATCTCATGAGGAGCCAAACAACTACAATAAAAAGGAGATAACAGTTGTTCATCTTTTCAAAGGTCACTGACGCATCTTTTGTTTTATGTCATGATTACATTGTTTGCTAATGTTTAGCATGGAAATGGCGTGCTATTCCTAAAGTAAAAAGACAGTAACCTGTATCCAAGGTACAGCGGCATGGGCTACAGGTATTCATTTACAGTCTTATTATATTTGTGATCAGGCTCGGGCGGGGAACGATTTTTGGCTCTGGCGTTTTTCCATCTAAACCAACCCACCCCCAGAAAAAAAAAAAAGAAGCACAGTCCAACACGTGCGTCTCAAATTTGAAACACAATACGAATACACATTGTGGATTAACCGATCTATCTTCAAGCATCACACGACAACAATCACCAAGACTTCCTTCTATAATGCAGTTTTACTGGCTTTGGTTATTAACACGAACGCGACAGTGACTGGTGCTGCGTAAAGTCCACACTCACCACATCAGCAGAGTTGCCAGATGTCACCGACTCACGTTTTCCAGCCCCAAATTGTTCATAAACCGCCTGGAAATACGAAATCTCACCCAATTTGAACCAAAGTCTATTGATCTCTTAGGCCATAAATCATAAATTTAAAAGAAATATTTTTTACCCATAGACGTCCCATCCAAAACGGCCAGACTGGGAAACATACACTATATTGCCAAAAGTATTTGCTCACCCATCCAAATTATTGGAATCAGGTGTTCCAATCACTTCCATGGCCACAGGTGTATAAATTCAAGCACCTAGGCATGCAGACTGTTTTTACAAACATTTGTGAAAGAATGGGTCGCTCTCAGGAGCTCAGTGAATTCCAGCGTGGAACTGTGATAGGATGCCACCTGTGCAACAAATCCAGTCGTGAAATTTCCTCGCTCCTAAATATTCCACAGTCAACTGTCAGCTGTATTATAAGAAAATGGAAGTGTTTGGGAACGACAGCAACTCAGCCACGAAGTGGTAGGCCACGTAAACTGACGGAGCGGGGTCAGCGGATGCTGACGCGCATAGTGCGAAGAGGTCGCCAACTTTCTGCAGAGTCAATCACTACAGACCTCCAAACTTCATGTGGCCTTCAGATTAGCTCAAGAACAGTGCGCAGAGAGCTTCATGGAATGGGTTTCCATGGTCGAGCAGCTGCATCCAAGCCATACATCACCAAGTGCAATGCAAAGCGTCGGATGCGGTGGTGTAAAGCACGCCGCCACTGGACTCTAGAGCAGTGGAGACGCGTTCTCTGGAGTGACGAATCGCGCTTCTCCATCTGGCAATCTGATGGACGGGTCTGGGTTTGGCGGTTGCCAGGAGAACGGTACTTGTCTGACTGCATTGTGCCAAGTGTAAAGTTTGGTGGAGGGGGGATTATGGTGTGGGGTTGTTTTTCAGGAGCTGGGCTTGGCCCCTTAGTTCCAGTGAAAGGAACTCTGAATGCTTCAGCATACCAAGACATTTTGGACAATTCCATGCTCCCAACTTTGTGGGAACAGTTTGGAGCTGGCCCCTTCCTCTTCCAACATGACTGTGCACCAGTGCACAAAGCAAGGTCCATAAAGACATGGATGACAGAGTCTGGTGTGGATGAACTTGACTGGCCTGCACAGAGTCCTGACCTCAACCCGATAGAACACCTTTGGGATGAATTAGAGCGGAGACTGAGAGCCAGGCCTTCTCGTCCAACATCAGTGTGCGACCTCACAAATGCGCTTCTGGAAGAATGGTCAAAAATTCCCATAAACACACTCCTAAACCTTGTGGACAGCCTTCCCAGAAGAGTTGAAGCTGTTCTAGCTGCAAAGGGTGGACCGACGTCATATTGAACCCTATGGATTAGGAACGGGATGTCACTTAAGCTCATATGTGAGTCAAGGCAGGTGAGCAAATACTTTTGGCAATATAGTGTAGATGCAACACCCCATCATGCACCGCAACATATTTTTACAAAATATTCAAACATAAATTTGCCAATTATGAAGGGAACATTGTAGTTTGGTTCAAAAGAAAGCATTTTAGCTTTATTATAATTTAGTTTGTTGCAGTGATTTTACAGTTTAAAGAAACAGGATTTTACATTTTGAAGAAATATAAAATTACACCTTATGCCAACCGTCACAAGGGTGTGCATGACAAGGAAGGGCTATATATATATATTTATATATATATATATATTACACACATCATTTTAATAGTTAACATTGTATTACTTCTTGAGCTCCTTCAGTTATTTACTGTCACAGGAAGGTGCTGTGGCTGGAGAGTAAGTATTGGGGTCAGTATGATTTAAGGAGGGCCGGCCCTTGCATGATGATATTAGGACCGGCACATTGGGCAAATGCCCGGTATCACAGATAACCATTCCAAGCCTGTTTGTGATAACGTTTCAGATTTTCACCCTCACATTTATCTAGCTACAACATTCACTGACCTGCTCTTACAATTTCAGAAGACATCTGACACAACTTAACCAAGAGCCAGCCTGACCGCGTCCCCTCTTAATCTTCCTATGCCTATGGAAAGCATGGCTTCAATGTTGCTTAATCTGATGCTGCCATGAAACTTTTTAAATATATTTCGCTCAAGGTTTAATGATCCCGCAAAAAGGCTTATTAAATGCCTTAGGTAATGTTGGGGTTCTCTACGTCTCTACAGTAGGGCTGCAACAACGAATCGATAAAATCGACTTTTAAAAGCGTTTGCAATGAATTTCGTCATCGATTAGTTGTGTCGCGCGATTAATGCGTCATCCGCCGCCGTTGTCATTGCCATGGGGCGCCTCCCCCATCCCAACCCCGTTCTCCCGCAGGAGTCCCTCTCAGCGCTGCAGTCAGATCCGCAGGATGTTACCCTCAGCGTCCAGACTGCAAATGAAGCGTGCATGCGCCGGGATTGACGGCGCAAATTGATCACAATAATTAAAATAGCCTGCGCTTTGTAAAGCAAAAAAAGTCGTAACATGCAACTTTTTAAAAAACAAATTAATATGTCACGGAAGCACCACTGTTATGACGCAGCACCTGAAAAGAAAACACGTTGGAGCCTTCGATGTCAGTGAAGAGAGCTGATCAGCAGGATGAGTAACCATGTTTGTTTCATTTTAAAGTGGGGAAACGTAGAGTTAGTTTCTCAGGTAGCTCATCTGATGCTTTCCTTACTGTGTTAGTAGGTTACAGACAGTGATAAGGTTGGATACTTATTTTACTTTAAATTTCATTTGAATTAGCTTAAGCAGCATTTATATTATCTTTATAAATAAATTAACTTGCAAATTATGAGGGCAAGGCTTTTAAAGTTTAAATCTTCTGGCAAAGATAAAGTAAAGAAGATCCTGCAATTTATGGAAGTAAAGCAGAATAAAATCCAGCAAGATCAGTAATATGTCAATTAATTATCTGCCACATTCCCATGTAAATATCTGTCTATGGAGGATGTGTTTTTTAGCACCCCTAGTTCTCTCATTTTTATTCCAAATACAATTTATAATTTGAATCACAGGGCTATTTTTATCTCTATGGTTCAGTATTTTCTCAAGCAGCAACTTTAACTGCTATACTTTCCTGTCTTAAAAGGCAGAACTCTTCTAGTCTAAAAAAAAAATTAATTTGTTGAAATGGGGGGACCTATTGTTTGAACCCCTTAGGGGCTTTTAAAAACAAAAATGTATTTTTTTGTGCTTTATGAAACAAAGTACCCTATATTTTGTGGATGTACAGCTACATTTCTCATGTAAGTTTGCGTAGTTTTAACACAAACATTTATTTTTCATATTGCAGCAGTACAGTTAATGAGCAACCTGTACTTGTGTGCTTGTTTGTTCTGTCTAAAATGTTTATTTTGGAATAAAGAGTTTAATATAAAAAATATTTTTTGTTCGATTCATCGATTAATCGAAAAAATAATCGGCCGATTCATCGATTTTTAAAATAATCGTTAGTTGCAGCCCTACTCTACACCTTTACTTTTCAGATCTTTGCTTGTGGAGTCATCTTGCAGCTGGCATTAAGACAAACATATGCCGCACTCTCAAATCTGCATGTTTTCCTACAGGATCCATCCAAAAAAAAAAAAAAAAACCAGTAAAAGAAAAAAATCAACTTGAAACAGACCCTTTTCCTCCACCTGATAAGAGCAACCCTACAGCATCATGCCTACATAGCTACAGTCTGTTAACGATGGAAATATTTCTGTAGTATTCTGTAGTTTCCTTTAATGCATATTTTCAGCTTTTTCAAAAGAAAAAAATAAATAAAAATAATATGCTGTAAACTATATATTAAAAGATTCAATTCCATCAGTTTGATGAACTCCATTTAATATTGAAAACATTTGGAATGGCATGAAAGTAGAAAACAAGTGCAGGCACTATTAAAAAGTTTTCTGTTTGTCGAAACATCTGAACAGCATAGATCATATTGGGTCTACCTCGCAAAGATCTATGACTTTGCGCTGGCCCATAACAAAATAATCTCAGTAAAACATTTACGTTTATGGTTGTAACATGACATGGCGAAAAGTTTAGAAGGTGTGAATATTTTGGCAATGCACTGCAACTGTAAAATAAGCAGTGCTGTTGATTACCAGATGCCTTTTTGCTCACTGATTACAAGCTAATTAGTAACTAGACATCACTCTTGAGAGGTTTGATAAACAGCCCACATGTTGATATGGACATTTGGGCCAAAGGAGACATAAATACAACAAAACTAACCAAACCAGATAACATTTCAATAAAAAGTTAATCTCTTCTCACTTTTTTCAACTTTCGATCCTTTGTTTATTTTGTATCTTTTTGACAATTTAAAATAATTTAGTAGTCCTTTAAAATGTTTATTTGTCGTGTACCTGGCATTTGTGATTCTGACATATATCATACATCAGCTGAGAGAACAAAGTGAAATCTTATAAAACTTCTCTTTGGTAGTAAGGCTGTTCTGGAATATTCTAACCACACATACGCTCTCTCTCTCTAAAGGGAGAGAGTGCATGTCACCTCATTCACCTGGAGCGAGATCTCGAACGAGATCCAGATCTGGAACTGGAAGAACTTCTAGAACGGGACCTGAAAGACAGACAAAGCAAAAAAACCTTTCCAATATTTTTTAAACTTAGAAGATAATATAGGACTTTATTGATGTCACAACAAAGAAATTCAATTGTTACATCAGCTCTAGTAAAAGGTGAAAAAATACAGCAATACTTCAATATTTAATGCAACTTAATCCTATTTAAAGTAAAGTACTATAGAGAAAAAGAAAGCTACCTCATGAATTGTTAATTCAACATGAATTGTGAATATAAATCTACAGAAAGCCCTTGAACTGATAAAAAATAATTTTTCTGAGTCACACACATTTGGAAGTGGCTACTAATAGAGAGCTGCCTACACACACTCTTTGTTGCTGATGGGAAGGGGATGAAAATAAAAAGGGAGAAACAACAGATTATCATTTAAAGGACATCGTTTGATGCTGTTCATTTATTCAAATCAAAAGGTAGGTTGAGCTGATACTGACATTTTGCCTGGAGTTACCCTTGACCTGTACCCTTTTACCTGGACCTCGACCGAGAGCTGGAGCTAGAAGAGCGCGAGGAAGAGCGTGAAGAGCCAGATTGGCTGCCGCTCTTCTTGGCTGGCTTTTCGTCCTCATCACTGGCAATGAGATCATACTTTGACAGATCCCCATCTTCATCATCCTCATCGTCCTGCAAATACATGATTTTAATAACGGCTATTTCTGCATACAAGAAGTTATTAGAACTTCTAATCAACGGGCTTACATCAAGCTTGTATTTAGACAGGTCACCATCTTCGTCATCATCTTCCTCCTCTTCTTCCTCCTCCTCCGGATCATCTTTTGGTACTTCTTTCTTTTCAGGTTCTTTTGCTGAACTTGAGCTGTTGCTCTTTCCACGATATTTTTTCTTTTTTCGACCAAACTGCAGGATAAGGAAATAAAATCCTCTTAAGAAAAATCCATCACCAAATCCAATTTATCTAATTCAAAAATAGGACTAATAAGAAAAAAATATATATAAAAAAAAAAATGACATGATAATCTCCAAGTTTAAGCTAGAACTCACCTCATCATATTCCCCATCAGATTCCTCCCGTTCTATGTATTCCACATTTTCCCTTTCATTGAAACCTCCACCATAACCTGTCAATAAATAGAGAGATTAATTAATCTTAGCCCACAATATGCAACCCTGCTAGAGTATTCTCACATTTGTCACATTACAGCAATAGTCTTTAATGCAAGTTGGAGGCTCTGTAAAACAAAATGAGCTCAAAGTAGAAGGAAACGACCAAAGATTTGATATATTTGGAACAGGACTTTAATCATACACATCATTTTGGGTAATCCTCGCCTATTTTGCATACCCAAATGGAAAAGCAAATAACTTAGGAACTGTAAGCCCAACATCCTCTGGTTTTGGTGACAGAACACAGACCAAGCTGCATCAGTTCAAACATGACTCAAAGTTGTTTTTTTTTATTCTCAGAAATGATATGTGTTTCTAACCTGACAACAGCCAGATGCATGTCTCGCTCCGCCTAGCTCCACTCACATACATCTGGGAACCCGCTCATTGAAAGTGATTTCCCCAACCGAATTTATGGTCTGTCCAATCAGGACATAGGGCGGGTGTGTCCTGGAGTGGAGAAGCGACCGTGAGATTCCAACATCAATGGCGGCTCGCATTGAGGAAGCAAGCGTTAGCATTGATGCTGCTATTTCTTCTGTGTTGTCCAATCTATCTGATATTGTTTCATTAAAAGAACATCAGAGAACGGCTTTGAAGGCTTTTGTTGGTGGAAACGATGTTTTCGCCCTTCTCCCGACCGGATTTGGCAAGAGCTTGATCTACCAAATGGCTCCTCCTCTCACAGCGTCACGGGTTAGCTTCGGTGTGAGTGGTTGAAATAGCGCGTCAATAAAGATGACAGACAAGTGGCTTATCCAATCATATGCAAGGAGTTTTGATAAGGCCCAGCCTTCAGTAAAGGCAATTCCTATGGCGGGTTCCCAGATGTATGTGAGTGGAGCTAGGCGGAGCTAGACATGCATCTGGCTGTTGTCAGGTTAATGTCTTTCTTGAACAGCAGTAATTTAAGACATTGTTGAGAAAAGGTAGATCTCATTGTATTAAATGTGTTCTACATCATGTCAACCACAAATGCAGAAGATTTCAGACCTCTAGCTATAACAGTTCCAGAGCTGTGGGGTTTTGAGCTTTTGGTGTCAGCTTGGAGCGGCAATGGCTCCACCCACTGGTGTCTGTGTTTCTCTCTAACATAAACCTTTGATGCGGTACCCCTTTAAATATTCTACACACATTTAGGCTTGTTCGAAAGCTTATTTCATTGGCTACAAAGCCCAAGACCCCAGATGGTCTTATCAAATAACAACAGAGATTAAAATGTCAATCATATCCTGCGTCACTGGCTGACAGGAAGTGAATCGGAGGTGAGACTTTGGAGACTATATCTCGCTCAAATCATTTTATAAAAATATGCAGACACTGGTGTGAAGAAGGCGATGTAAAGAACCATACCAAACATCGCGGGATAACAACTGAGGAAATTAGTATTAGAAGTAAATATTAGCAAGATGCTGAGAATAAGCTATGACCACCTTTCTGATGTCAACAACCGTGCGTTAGTGGCAATTTTCTCATCATGGAATATTTTTTTATTACTAATATGCTGGATTACTTTTTATCTATGGACCCTTATGGACGAATGGAGTATAAACAATTGAAGATTGGATTTATAAAACGGCTTCTGGATGCCTTCAAAGGTATGTAGCTGTGGCTGCTTTGTTTGTTTACATTTTGACATATTGCTATATCTGTTTTAATCGTACTTTGGTGCTCGCTGTGTCCATAAAATGATCTTAGTGGTTGAATTGTGGAGAATCTAAGCTTTCCAATGATGTCTAACATGTCTATATTGGTAAAAATGTTACCATTGGAATTTTATGCATTGTGAGTTATTACCCCACTTAACACCACTTTGAGAGATTAAACTGACATTTCCGTAGGTTCCTCATCGATTCAGGCTGCACAAAAGGCTTCACTGCAAAGAGCTAGAATTCACTTGGATGTGCAAGTCTAACAGAAACCCTACAGTAAAGCAAAATTTTGCTCTACAAAGTGATGTGATGGGAGATTGGGATGTGCGTCGACCATCTCATGAGAGAAAAAGCTTGAAAACCATGTATCCCTTTCCCTCCACTTCAAATCAATTAGCTTCATTGTTTTTATCCATTACGTGAAATCTCAGATTAAATAACTTATTGCTGTAATATGACAAAAAAAAGAGAAACTCTAGCGGGTATGAGTATATTGGTATATATAAAGCTAATCCTGAACTAAAAAATGCATCCGAACCTGTTCTTTCTTCAAGCTTGGTATACTTTGGAGTGTTGCACATGTTGCACTCTGAACGCCTTGCCCAGTTCACATTGCCACATCTTTAGTCAAAATGGGGAAAAATAAACACAAGTTAAACACAATAATATTAACATGCACTTTGAAAACAAACGGTTCAAATTACGCTCATACGTTTTGCACTGCCAATCATTTGCACTGAAGAGGCCTCTGCTCTTCTCAGCAAGAGTTTTCCCAATTTCTGTTCCTCCTGCTTTCATCATCTTGGCCTCTGTGGTTTTTTCTGTTGACACAAAAACACCAACTTCATTAAATAGCAACAACATCGTTATTATAGCTGATCGAAGCGTTACCTCTTCCACATCTGTTGCAGCTTGTTCTTCTTGCGAAGTTTACATTACCACACCTGGAAAAAATATATTTATATAGTAAATTCGCCACTCAATGCACAGGATCGTGCAGATTAAGCTAGCAGCCTTAGCTTAGAAACACCACCAAAGGGCTTGGCTCTGACATCTGCACCCGTCGATCACATTTAAACCGAGTTCGCTGGAAACATGACACTCTGAACACGCATGCAAACTATCAACATGTGAGCAACCCCCACAACAGTGCGTGAATAAGCTTATAGCCACGCAAGCTAACAACAGCTAATATGCTAATTTGATAGCTCGAGATGGGCACTTTTATTGTACAACAAATCTTTCCCCCTTATTCAAACGTCCAACTAATCTATAAGTCTATCATATGTCAAGTTTACATGATGATTGAATAAACAAAATAACGATTGTTTTATTTGTTAGCATAAGCTACATGCTAGTAGGCCTCAGGCTAACTCAAGTCACGCTGAGACAGAAATGAATAATTCCTGGTAAATTAGAGCCTCTATGTTGTTCATTTGTAATTTTAACGCCAGTCTTACTTTTTATCGGGACAAATCCAGTCCCCGTCGCTGACTCGAAAACTCTTTCCTGACATTTTTGTGCCTTTTGACTCAATCACAGTGAACAGAATTGACGTTCACGCGGAGCAGTAAGAGCTGCACAGCGGCTAGTCGAGTCAACGCCTCCCTCCACTGCTGCCTTCACGTCCTCTCCCGGAAATTGTACATCCCTACACTTTTGCTAAAGTTGTTGCAACTTTAAAAAAAATAAAAAACAATTTCACGTCTTTGTAAAGTCTGAATCATTCATACCAGTTTGTGAATGTAGATGATCATCCTTGATCCTGTCTATACTGAAGAAATTGAAAAAAACTTCTAATCGTGTAACATTTCTGAAAACATGTGACTGTTACAGTCCCAAAACGATCGATGGTTTAAACATTTTACCACAGTGGCTTCATTTTGGCCTTATTCTTTGTTCAGTTATATATTACATGCTCCACTCTGTCCTTAATCAGTAAACTTAAGATATTTATATAAAACACGTTAATCAAATCTAACATTTTTATTATCATTTCTAACCAGGAAATTTCTCATGTTAACATTTGTTTTATCAAACACGGACAAGCCATGTTATAAGTGGCTATATTATAATTGTGTAGGTTTTTCAGAACTTTTAGATGGTCAATTACAGAGTTATTAAGCTTGAAAATAAAGCAGTGAGTCACCAGGTTACAGTAGCGCCTTTTGATAATCTTTTTCTAGTCATGAATTATAATATTTTAGACCCTTGCGTGTGTTAAAATGTTATAACTATACTTTATGTTTTTTTTTCTCCAGTTTTTATGCATCATAAAATATTTTTGCTATACCAGTGATGGCCGTTAGATGGCGATCGACACCAACACAAAAACAGTCTTTCACACAGAGCCCTTCCTGGTTTGGCTTTGACTGTTTAATAAAAATGAATTGTTCATCCTTATCAAGCAAGTGTAAAGGTTATGGTGAAAAAAAAAGTTACATCAAATAGATTTTTCTGTCTTTGTGTGTACATGTGCACTTGTCTAATCAGCATATGTAATTATTCAATAGATGTAAACTCTTCTGATCTTTTTTCCAAATGAAGAGGGGATTATTTCAATTCAATTCAGTTTATTTATATAGCGCCAATTCACAACACATGTCATATCAAGGTACTTTACAGTTCACCAGATTATACAGTCAAATTGATTCAGCTTTCTATCTAAGGAAAACCAGTTGATTGCATTGACTCATTAAATCAAATGCAATCCCTCACACTAAGCATACTTGATGCGACAGTGGAGAGCAAAAACTCCCTTTTAACAGGAAGAAACCTCCAGCAGAACCAGGCAAAGTGTGAGCGGCCATCTGCAGAGGTCGACTGGGGTTCAAGGAGACAGAAGCAGAGATACAAAAAGCAGTTTTGAAAGGCGGCCCCGTCCAGGAAACACACAGCCAGGCGGACAAGCTCCAAGTCAACTCTCATGTCAGAGGATGAAGAGAGCACATCCAGCCAGTCACAGTCAGAGAAACAGGACTACACTGGAAAACAGGCCGTTCTCCAACATCTATAAACAAGGGTGTTTATGGCAGCAGCACAGCTGATAATTATTTCAGTTTATGCAGAACACTATTATTTATTCTTCTGGCACTAAGACTTCAATATATGTCATTTGACTTGAGGGACAGAAATTCTAAATGTGTACTTATAAAAAATAAGTGTATGCCAATTTATTGCTGAGCGCTTTTTTTTTCCTTGACTGTTTCTTTAGTAGTCCTGATAGTTTAACAATGGTGACACCTAGAATAATCCAAAACCAAAATTGCCCTGTTGATGGATGATTAGTGATATTCAAGTCACTTGTTGTAGCTAATCTTTACATGTTATTACTTTTCAAGCAAAGTATTGACTGTGTTTAGTTGGTTTTCAGTATTTCCTTGATTATATCTGTCAAATAAAGATAAGCTTAAAGCATTGAGCATGGAGGAAAGACCTTGTGTGGTTGTCAAATGGTGCCCATGAAAATCACTGATAAGAAGTTCAGCCTCTTGGAAAGCAGATGATATACATCTATGCTTTGTACTTTCATAGCACATACTAAGGTAAATAAAATACATTATTGTCATCCCCAAGATGGAAAGATGGAATCACTGATCATGACTTTGCTGCATATCAGAGTAGTTACCAAGCAGAGAGTTGCAGATCATATGGTACAGAATGAGAAATGTGGCCAATAGAGGTGAAAGAAGGGCTAGAGTTGTTACTATCTGTCAGAAGATAACATTTAAGAACTGCTAGAGTTTAGATCTCAAGCTGTTTCAAAACCATTTTCGTCTACCCTCTCGGTCCAAGATCAAAGACCCTGGGAGGTTACTGTCACAGCTGGTGTATGACCCTGATGCCTTGCCAGCAGCCATTTTAATATTTAAGTTTGGTTTGTTTTTTCTTTAGGTTGCTTTCTTTTGCTCTCAGTTTCTTTTACTCATTTTAACTACGGGTGGGATAAAACTGCTAAGGTCCATCCCTCAAGATTTGGACGAGATAGGTTTATTTGATTTAGTACTTTAGAGATGAACTAAATATGATTTATTTTAATCATACATGCATTTTTTAATCAGTATATATCTGGTTAGGGAGACATGTAAATGATTCATGAATTCCACCTACATTTATTAGGACTAAGGGCCAGCAGAGATAAGCTTCCAGGGGTGAGAGAGGCATGTTCTTTTTTTCTTTCCAATCTTGGTGAAAAGGAAATTATTCTTAGACCTTTATCAGTATGATTCACAATACAAACAAGGAGCCAATGAATTTCATATTTTGAAATGCCACAGTGCTGGTTCGAGATGAGTGTGTATGTTTCTTTTTAATATTTAATATGGATTATAAATAACAGGTGATAAAAAGCTAGATAACCAACATAGCAACCCAGTGATTATCATGGGGTTTACTGAGGCTTGCAAAAGCATTTTAAAACTGTCATTTTTTCATAAGCCTTGATGCTGCTTCCACATGCTTCAATGTGTTTGATTAGAATCTTATGTGATAGACTGATACTAAGTTGTTTATAATTATGGCTAATTCTCTTAAGTCAGTTGTGTGCTGAAACTCTGCTGCTTGAATTACTACTACAAGTTATAATGGGGTATTTCTTTATTTTTCTCAACCAGAGATATACAGTATGTATGCCTTTTTCTTTCCAAAACAGGTCATTATGAATCAGATTGCATTGAGAATAGCCAAAAACATACATTTTATAACTTGCCACAAATTCCAATTTTCTCGAGTTTAGATTTAAAGAGACATTATGTAAATTTTTACTTAAAATATCTTTAAAATTGCAATTTTATCAGACCCTTTATGGCTAAAATATTGTTTTATGAGTAGAGTGACACCTCAGTAGTTCAGCGCTGATGCATTTATAACTCAGAACTTTAGGTTGGAAGTTCTTGCGCTGTTTGTCAAGCGTCCATGTTAATGGGTATGCATAGCAAACATTGAAAGCATTATATTCAAGATGTATTTTGTGGATACTCAAAAAGCGACCTGCATCCAACTCAACTCAGACCCCAACAAAAACTCCACCTAAGGTGAAAAAAAGCCTGGTTAAGTATAAGGACAAGCTACAAGAACATGAAGAGTGTTGCAGTTCAGGTGGCAGTATCTTTAGAAAACTCAACAAACCCTTTTTGAATGTGCTTTGATCTAAACCAGAATTTTAAAACTCCAGTCCTCAAGTCCTATGTACTGCACCCTCTACATGTATCTGTGTTTTAATACTCCTGAGTCCAATAATCAGAGCAAATATTTGCAAAGATCCTCAGAGAGCTCCTACATTGCCCTAATTTTTCCTCCCAAGAAGTGCTAATGATTCAGATATTTGTTGAGAGTCACTTAAAACAAGACAGTAGCAGATCTTTTTGTCATAGTTGCGAGTGGTTGATCACATTACTAGGTGTGTGATTTTCCAATACCGTTTTGGTACTAATTTTGACTCCATTAACTGTATACCTTACGAATTGAGGAAAGACAAAATATTTGATGAAACATAGTTAAAAATGATAAAAAATTAAGAGGGACATAAATCACTAGCTGCAACGTTTGCTCTGCACACATAAAATTAAAAGCAGTTAATCATGTTAAATCTAATGCTGTGTATACTGGATCAGCATCATGCATCCGATATCAGATCCTGCTAAGTAGTCAATGTTGGAGCCGATATACAGTAGGATCAGAGTATTCTATAAGTGCATATTGTCAACATAGCTTAAGATTTGCGACTTATGGGCACAATAAATAAACAAACTGAACCCCACCCATTCTGTCCTTGTAAAATCAATGGAGAAAGCTTAACTAATTGTGGAATTCAGACATGTGTTAAGAAATGTGTCTCATTATAGTTAAATTCAGCCAAACCAGATTGTCACACCACATCGACATGTTTTAACATAGCTTATTCAATTCAGGTTCAATCTTCAACTATGACGACTGTTTTCTTTTCTGGACAAGACATCCCATTTTCCACCATAGTTACAAATCTTGGAGTTAGAATGGATTCTCAACTTACTTTTGAAAATCACATTAAGCATCTGTTTAAAATCTGTTTCCTTCATCTTCGTAATATCTCCAAAATTCGTCCGTTTCTTTCTTTTTCTGATGCTGAGACTCTTGTTCATGCATTTGTCTCCTCCAGGTTAGACTACTGCAACTCTCTGTTTGTTGGAATCCATAAAAAAATATCTTCAGAAGCTCCAATACATTCAAAACAGCGCAGCCAGGATTCTCTTGAGGGCCCGCAAATCTGCCCATATTACACCTATTCTGCATGACCTTCACTGGCTTCCCATCACCTGCAGAATTCAATACAAAATCGCGCTCATCACCCATCAGTGTTTAAACGGATCCTCACCGGATTATCTGAAGGACCTTCTCACTCCACATTGATCCACCAGATCTCTTCGATCACAAGACTGCAACTTCCTTCACCTTCCTCGCTCCAGATTAAGCTCCATGGGAGATCGGGCCTTCGCTGTCGCTGCCCCCCGTCTCTGGAACTCTCTCCCAGATCATTTGAGAGCTCCACAACCACTGAATGATTTTAAAAGAGGCTTGAAGACTTTTTTATTTAAGCAAGCCTATTCTGCCTTCACATGATTTTTATGTTGTTGATTTTT